GGCATGTACATCTCACATTATCTTCGTGTTTTTCTTCCCCACATTGTATACATTTGCTTTGTTGTTTACAAACGTTCGAGGAGTGACCGAAAGATAAGCAGTTGAAGAAGCATAGGGGATTAGGGATATAATCCTGTACCTTGACCGTATGGAATCCTATCTTTAATTTTTCTGGAATTCTCGGTGTAGGAAATGTGACGATATAAGAATTTGTCAATATTTCATTTCCATTTTTTTTATTTTAATACATATTATATCATTTATCATTGGAGATAATTCTTCTTTAATTTCATCTATCTCTAGAAATCAGAGGTCGAAACACCAAATCACCCCTTTGCTGTAATTTAAGGTATTGTGGGGGGACATCTCAACCAGAAATTGTCCACCAAAATTTTTAGATTTTAATAATTCTTCCGATTGGTTACTGTTTTTCGTTCCAATAAGTAATGTGCCATTTCTTAGCTTTTTTACATTATTTAAGTCTCCCACCAAACCTGAAAGAAACTTATTTATTAAGAATGGAGATACTTTTTGAAAATTTTGATCATCTGATCTTTCTATTAAAAAAGATAGATTTCCCGTAACACGGGAAATTTAAACCTTCCCTGGCACAACCAAATCCCCACTGTGGAATATCTCATTTCACAAAAAAAAAGAAGAAAAATCAAACTCAGAGATTGGTGATTACTGGGCAAAACACAAACAAGAGGAAAATTGCTTGGATTACAATAAAGAGAGAAATTAGGCTAATAACTTACAATTAACTTAAAATAAAATGATTCCACATTAAATTTAAACAAAAAATATACATATCAATAAAAGGTTTTTCCAGAAGGGAGAGGCAATAACTTGTGCACCGGTCGCACCAAAGTGGCTGTAGCAGTCCTCAATTTTACAACCCTAACTACACTGTAGGGCCCTGGAAGTGTCTCTACTATCCTGGCAAGCCGCCACTCCTGCAATGGAACATCTTTTTCATGCAGAATTACAAGGGTTTCTTCCTTTAAATTTTCCCTATCAGTATACCACTTGTTGCGAGGCACCAGATTATGAAGGTATTCATTATACCACCTCTTCCAAAAATTACGAAGAGTCTTGGAAATCATCTCCCAACGACTTGTCAAAGGAAACACAGGTGCGTCTTCTTGTTCTGGTCTGGCTAGGAGGAGTTGAACTACAAGAGAGTGTCCTGGGGTAAGGTAATCCAGGTTATCCGATGGCTGACTGCTAATTTTGCAGATAGGACAGGAATTCAGAACAGCTTCAACTTGTACAAGAAGAGTATAAAATTCCTCATAAGTTAACGCATGATCCTGGAGAACGGCAAGAAGGTTTCTCTTAGCAGATTTAATAGCTACCTCCCAGATACCACCGAAATGAGGAAATACTGGAAGACTGAAGGTCCAGTTTATACTCGTCTTACCCAAATAGTCAGAAATGGGTTCGCTCTGGCCCTTAACAAATTGATAAAGCTCCTTCAACTTCTTGGATGCTCCAATAAAATTTTTTCCACAGTCACTAAAAATATGAGAAGGCAAACCGCGTCTGGCAATGAATCTATCTAATGTGGCAATAAATGAAGGTGTGGATAGGTCCGTCACAAGTTCTAGATGTATGGCCTTGGTGGACATGCACACAAAGAGAGCAAACCAACATTTCGACTTAGGAGCATTGCGCTTACTGGAAATCTTCATAATGAAGGGGCCGCCATAGTCTATTCCAACTCACTGGAAGGATCGACCCTCAGTCACCCTGAAAGACGGTAAGTCACTCATTTTTGGAGCCTGTGGTTTTGCATTATTTTTGTGGCAGGTAACACATTTATAAATACGGCTTCTAACGAGTCTTCTTAGAGAAAGGATCCAAAATGAATGAGAGACTGGACCAACAGGGGCCACCATGCAAGGAATACCTGTGGTAATGATCACACAAAAGGACTGCTAAATGAAAGTCTTTAGATATCGGCAGCGGGTGCTTAGTTTTCTCTTCGATTGTGGAATACTTCAATCTACCTGAGAGCTCTGTCCTTATCCAAAAATGGCGTGAGCCTGTTTAAGGAACCCTTAAATGGTTTGCCAGCTTCAAGACAATCAATTAATTCAGAGAAAGATTCCCTCTGAACGAGTCTGACATAAATCATCAAGGGATTCTTAAGATGGTCCGCAGTCAAGGTTCCAGCAGCAAAATCATCTTGCTTCCTATCTCGGCAACATTTAATAAACTTTAAAAATAAAACAAAAACTCTTTGCAACTTCAAAAGGCTCGAATATTTTTCCAGGCAAATCAACAAACCGTTTGGTTTTTCAGCCGCTAAAAGAGATATTGTTTTTACCTCAGGCAGAACAGATGGAGGTTCAATGTGGTAAATAGGCCAGTTAGAAGGAGGTAACGAAATAAATGCCGGGCCGTTCCAATAAAGCTCATGTGAAAGTATCTGGTGTGGTGTGAAGCCTCTCGTTAAACATTCTGCTGGATTCTGTTTCGTAGGAATATAATGCCAAAAATTAGGTACTGTATCTTTCAAAATCTGCACTAAGCGATTGAAAACATAAATTTTAAGTTCATGAGGCGTTGTCTGTAACAAATAAGAGTACGTTACGAGAATCCGATAAACAATAAACTTCCTCAATATTTAAATGACTTTTATGTTTACCGATGCATGTAAATAGTCTAGAGGCAAGAACATTAGCATTTAATTCCAAACGAGGCGCTGATTGAACCTTAATTGGGGCCACCTTACTTTTTTCCCTTAACAAATGAATTTTGGTAGCTACTCCAGGGCACCCAACTCTCAGGTAGATCACACACACGTAACCCCTCTCGGAAGCGTCTGAAAATACGATTAGTTGCATGGATGATGCATTCTTGCTGACAATACAACGAGGCAGGCAAACACTTTTCAAGCTCGGAAATTCGTGAAGGAAAATCTTCCACAATGAAGACACATTAGAAGGCAACTCATCATCCCAATGAACTTTAAGAAGCCACAAACGTTGTAATAGGCATTTAACAAAAAAAATTACGGGACTGATATATCCATTTATATTGAAAATCTTGGCAATGAAGGATAGAATACCTCATTTTGTAAAAACAGGCTCATATTCCTGTATTGAATACTTGAAATGATCGAGTTTAGGATCCCAGTACAAACCCAAAACCTTAACAGCAGAAAAGTAATAAATCCAAATTTAGTATTTTTTAAAGTAATTAACAATTCTTTCACTGTAAACTAGATAAAATTTTCTTCAAATGAAAATAGAATTTATCATTTTTAGAACCAGTTAAAGAGGACTTTCGAGCGGCTAAACTTGGCTAAGTTCTGTTTTTAAAAAAATCATAAATTATATCCGATTTTTATTATCATTATCCAACTATACCACTGTAACCCACCCCACTTTTTCGTTTAATAAGCTTTAAGTTCATATAAATTAAATTGAGGTTTATTAGGCAAATTCTTGAGATTCACCTCAAGTTGTGTAAAAAAATGATGTCAACTTCTATCCCGTCACCCAATAGTGCACGTTTTTTCAGCAAATATGACAACAGTTAACCGTTGCAAAGCTTTTATTTATTATTTTTTCAAGATCTGTGATTTATTTTAATAAATATAATTGCTTAAATACACTTTTTATTTATAAATAAAAACAATAACAATAATAATTATTTTTAAAATATTTTTCAAGTAAAATATTTACGAAACTGTTTTTCTCCCAGATCTCTGTCATAGGAATTGGTCCATATTTATAAGTGACAAATTTAATGTTTCTAGTCCTAAAATTTATGTTTAAAAAAAAAAAACCTGCTGACTGCTTTAATTTTTTTTCATAAAAACATAAATCTTAGGACTAGAAACATAAAATTCGCCAATAATAAATAAGGATTAACTCCATTGACAGAGAACTGGAAGAAAAATACAATTTCATAAACACTTTACATGAAAAGTATTTAACAAATCATTATTATTTTTTTTTTATTTATAAATAAAAAGTGTATTTAGGAAATTATTTTTAGGCGACAAGATGAAAAATCACATTTCTTTACACAACTTGAGGTGAATTTGAAGAATTTTTCTAATAAACCTTAGTTTAATTAATATGGGCTAGAAGTTCATTAAACAAAGAAGTTTTTCTAAAAGTGGGTTATCTTTCAAAAAGTAGGATAATGATAAAAAAAATCGACAATAATTTATGATTTTTTAAAAATCGAACTTAGCCAAGTTTAGCTGCTCAAAAGTCCTCTTTTAATGGCTTTAACAATGATAAGCTCTATTTTCATTTGAAGAAAATTTTAAATAATTTACTGTGAAACCATTGTTAATTACTTTAATTAAAATTTCTTTAGTTATCACTTCCTAATCATCAAAAAGCATGATTTCCTTAAAAAATGAGAATTGGCACACTGTTTATATGAACTTAATTGTAGGCCTCGAGGTCTGCAATTACTCCTATGAAAATTTCCCTTTATCTACGGGACACCCTGTGTATACAAGGGTGTCCAGTAAGTAAAGGGAAATATTTTAAAAGTTGATAGTAGACATCAAGATCTACAAAAAAGTACAAATAAACAATTGCCCAATATCCAGCAGAAAAGTATGAAAGTTAAAATTTGTCTTTTTTTTAAGCGAGCCACGTTTGTTGTTGGATAGCATTAGGATCTCTTAATTATTTTTCAAGTTAAAGTCCACTTTTATTTCATTCAATTAATTATTTAATTTTAGTTTCATGTTCAATTATAAATTTCCTCAACAAAAGGAAATTTATTTAATATAAACCTTTTTAAAAGGCAATGCCAAGCTTAACAATTTTTAAGATAAAATGAATATTTTAAGAAAAAAAATGTTTACAGTGATTTTGATGATAAACTAATAACATTATCTTAACAAATTACTCTTATATTAATTAAATTTGGATCACAAGAAAAAATAAGTGATTCAAATGCTGCCATTAGTATAATGAAAAAATAATAAATATACTAACATAATAATATAACATAATTCTTACATAAAACAAGACGCTGCTTTTTCCTTGCAATCATCATCTGCATAAACAATAGTAATATTCACATTTGAGGAAGCTTCTTCTTCATCAAAATTCATATAGTACTCATTTCCTGGAGCTGTTTGAATACTCTCATCCACAAAAGTCCAAGACAACGGTTCTGAAGGTTCAATAAGATAGCAGACTGGTCTAAAAAGAAAAATGTAAATAAAAAATATTAAGTATAACAAAATACATTTTATAAAAGTTAAAAGTGAAACAATGTGAAATAGTAGAATGTACTAGACTAAGGCATAGGTGAGAGAATTGTGTCTAGGCTGATCTTGCTAATAGTTAGTATAGATAGTATGGGAGGAGGGTTGTGAGTAAAGTTATCTAGTTAGCAAGAAAAACTGGCAATAAAAAATTTATTGAAATAAAAAATAGCCAACATTAAGTATTTTATATTATATTTTTATTACAGTTAAACAGGGACTTGAATGGTTGAGTGTGGTAAGTACTTGGATGGTTGACCCGGGTTTGGATGACCCTCCACTGAGGAAAGCAATGCTGCTCGAGGTTCCAGACATCTGGGTAAGTGGGGCCCATCAGCCTAATGGAGGCAATTTGCACCGACCAGGCATAGGAGTGATGATCCTACCCTATGCACTTTAATCGGGAATCACGATGTGGTTGGTTTTTCAGGATGTCAGTAGCCATAATCCATAGATCTACATCGGTCCGTCTTTGTTTTAGAAACCGTGTGAGTTGGTGGAAAGGACACTGCCAGATTTGTCCCAAAGAGATTGGCTGTGGAGTTATGGGTGACCTGCCATTGCACCATTGAGAGGAAGATCAAGGTGTGGCAAAATAGCATCGAGAGAAGTATTATGAAAGTAAAGAAGATAGATAAAATCAGATGCAAGAAGATAAAAGAAGAAACAAGGCTCAAATACACACTCTTGCAAATAACTCAAATGGAAATGGGCTGGACATTTCCTGCGATGCAATGACAATAGATGGTCAAAAACAGTCACCGAACAGTGTTAATATATTTATTTATCTCAGGTGTGGGTTACTGACAATCAGATCAAAACATCCAGAAAAACTAACATTAACTACACTTAACACTGTTTGATTACAAAATAAAGTCAAGTATGAATTGGCAAGCTAATCTTTTTTCTATATACACTGTTTCTTCTTTTGTTGCACTAACTTCATTTGTCTTCAAATGCTTTCCAATGTTCTGCCAAACACAACTTCCAAATTGGCAACACTATCTTCTACTCAACTCAAGCTCACTGGGAAATCCTCTCTCTTCTAATTCCAAACAACTAGTCTCTCTACCAAACAACAACTTCCAAGGTGGTAAAACTATTACTGGGTTTTACCCACTGGAGCCAGGTCCCTTCTCCTATCGAGGTATATTGAGCAGAGAGTATGTATACAGTTACCAGAAGGCCTCTATAGTGCATATTCATTACAGAGGGTAAGATGATTAAGTGGATAAAGGAAGACGAATAGAAGGATGATCTTAAGCGTCAGGCGGATCAGGACCTGAACCACTCTTGGTCTGCGGTGTAAGGGATCAATCTTAACACTCCACAAGGATGGTAACCACAACCAGAGGGATCAATCTCCAGACTTGTGGGAGGATGAAATACTAACGGAGGGATCAATCTCCTGACTTAGTATATAGGACCACAAGCAGAAGAACCAGCGTCCAAACTTGCATGGAGTAAGAGAAGAGAATAAAAGGATAAAGGATAGTGTAAAATAAGATGAGCAAACAGATGATAACAAAAAGCGTATATGAGGCATATACTGATCATCTGCGTAGAGGTCTACACCCTGAAGGGGTGGAGATCCGAGGATCTAACGACATCGAGACAGGACTGCGGTATTCATTCCACCAAGACTAAATTGGCTATCAACAGCCGTTACAATAACAGTTATTTTTAAGCTTTCATCAGTATATGTTTAACTTTATTAATGAAAAGTATTTATAATGTGTATACATATTTCAATTTACAATTTGGGTATTTTATCATATAACAATAAGAAACAAAAATACAAATAATACTAGGTGCATTGCACTAGCGAGCTTGCATGGCGCTGCCAGGTAGCGGGTAGGTGAACTAGTTATCCCCTGTAGCAGGAGGCAGGAATCTGTTGCAGCTACACTCTCTTCACTGTAGTCAACAACTGCTTGCCAAAACAAATCCTTTGTTCCATCCCCTCCTTGGGATTTTCCCTATTGGGAAAACTACAGAGCAGTTATTTTCTTTTCCCTGAACTAGTAGAACTAGATTAGCTTGCCTTTTAATTGTTCAATATTAATTTATTAAACCCTTTTTACTCTTTTCCAATAAAGGTGTACATTACAATACCTATCTATCTGTACTGGCTATACAACCCGCTTAGAGAGTCATGGCCTCCACCAACAGGATCCGCCAGGTGTTCCTGCTTTGTGCTGCCACCATCCAGTCTCGAACTTCTAGCTTCTTGGCATCTTTGGCCACGCTTTCCCTCCATCTTAACTTTGGTCTTCCTGCTTGTCGCGTTCCATGCAGGATTTCAACCAACACCTTCTTTGGGATCATGTCGTCTCTCATTCTGGCCACATGACCTGCTGACATTCTGAGACCATCTGAGATGGTCTTCTCTTATAAAATTGACAATATTGGCCTCATTAAAACGCTGGTAGATCTCTTGATTCTTCCTCCTTCTCCGCTCTCTATTCACACACACTGGACCATAAATTCTTCTTAGAATTTTTTGTTCAAATATTAGGAGGTCCTGCTCAGCTGCCTTGGTTATTGTCCAGGTCTCTGATGCATAACAATGCCAAATAATGTCTATATCGTCGGCAAAAGCGAGGAGCTGAACAGTCCTATTGAAGATCGTGCTAGATGTTTGTATTTGGGACTCACGAACTGCTTTTTCTAGGGCCAAGAGAAAAAGGAGGCATGCCAGGACATCACCCTGCCTTACTCCCCTTCTCGTAGAAAATTCCTCCGATGCCCGTTATTTTAACAACCCACTCCACCTCATCCATTGTTAACTTGGTAAGCCTGATAAGCTTGGAGAGGATGTTGAACTGGCGTAATGCATCGTACAGCTTTTGATGGTCGATCGTGTTGTAGGCTGATTTAAAATCGACGAAGAGGTGGTGAGTTTTGAGCTTATATTCCTGTTCCCTTTCCAGAATAGTCCTCAGACAGAATATCTGGTCGATCGTTGACCTTCCTCATGTGACCCCGCACTGGTACCGCCCAATCTCTTGCTCTGCAAACGGCAATAGTCTGTGGAACAGCCTATTGCCGATAAAATTTTATATGCGCATGGGAGCAGAGCAATACTGCGATAGTTAGAGCATTTCAATAGATTAACCTTCTTGTGGACCAGGCACATGACTATCTTCTTCTTCTTCCAGTCTATAGGCATTATTTCCTCAGTAAAATAAAATATTACATGAATGTCAAGAAGGGTTTCGAAAGGGATACTCGATTATCGATAATATTTTTAACATGTTAAATATTATTAAAATACAAATAAGTAAAAAACATCACAAGTTGTATTGTCTGTTTATCGATTTTAAGTCGGCTTTTGATTCACCGGACAGAAAGTCGCTTTTTATAAATTGAATATGTTGGGGATATCTAGCAAATTCATGAATGCTTTGAAGGCTATTTACAGACGTACGGAATCATGTGTGTCCAATGGCAGGGTTGTTTGCTCTCACCCACTCTGTTTTCACTGTTTGTAAATGATTTCTTTGACTTCATAAGTGGAGGAATTCTAATAGGAGATGTAAATATAAGGTATAAGCCGTAAGATATAAATATAACAATATGTATGCTGATGATATTGTTTTGCTTACACCGGAACCTAAAATTCTCCGATTGATGATAAATAGAGTAGGGGACTACAGTAGTTTACGGAATTTGTCAGTTAACATGGAAAAACTAAAATTATGGTATTTCGCATTGAAAGAAAATTAGGAAAGAACGAGAAATGGAAAATGGAAGCACATCATCTGGAAATTGTAAATTATTACAACTATCTGGGAATAGGCCTGACTTCTCTATGCAACCTGAAAACTCATTTTTTAGATAAGTTAAGCATCTCAAAATATAATGAAATATCATTATCAAATAAGTTAGATGTTTACAATGCTGCCGTGTGATCAATAATTTGTTATGCTTGCCAAGTCTGGGGATATCATAGTTTTGAAGAAATCGAAAAACTAAATACATTTTTCATTAAAAAAAAACTGTTTTTCCTTCTATTAATTCACCTCATTATATTTTATATTTGGAATCCGATTTTAAACTGATATTCTTCTATTCTTTATCATTACATTTGCAATATATACAAAGGGTACTTACTTTACCAGCATCAAGATTAATGAACATTTTGGCTAAAGAAATAATGAAACAGAAAATATTTTGGCACAAAGAGAACATTGATCTCTGAAATATAATTAATATCCTAATAGAATACACTACTGATAAAACAATTCCTCATATTTTAACTAAATTAGAAAATAATATTAAAGTGGATATTAGGGAAAAATCTAGATTTATATTAGAGTTTCTAGATTTCATGACCTTTATAAGGATTTAAATAGCGACTTAGGTGAAAGGTATTACATATCAGATGTTAATAAAAGGCATTTTATTAAAAGCATATTTAAATTGGGTGGACAATTATTGTTTCTAAACATTAATGTTATGAAGAGTGAGCAACAAAGATTGTGTAGCCTTTGTAATTTAAATGAAATAGAGGATGTATACCCTCGCGCGGGCTCATTACCGCGTATGGGGAGCGTCCCACGGGTGGCGGATGTGGGGATGGTCGGTGGAAATTCCTTAGAAGTTCCTCCCGGCTAAGTCCGATGGACTCGCTGACCAACAATGAGAGGGGCCCTCCAGACTTGCTGGAGAGAGGGGGACCTCCGGACTTGCTGGAGGTAGGGGCCCACCAGACTTGCTGGAGGGTGTGACGTAGGATTGAACGCCCTACTCACATATCTTTAGTTCACCAAACACCACAAAAAGTCATGAATCTCCCTAAGGTAAAACGCTCATTATCCGGAGGTAAACTAGTCCCCCGTTCGGGTCGCCGGGTGGGGACTGCTTTAGGGGATTCATGGCGCAAGTTGAAATATAGGGATTTAAATATTGGTACGTGGAACGTAAGGAGTT